GCTATCTGAGATTTGCTTCCAAAATAATAGAGAGGAGGAGTGAGTGGGAATGTCCTCACTGTCATCCAGTCAATTCCAACTCACAGTGACCCCCATTGGGTTCCAAGGCTGTAAATATTTAAGGAAGCAGACTGCCCCATCTTTCCTCCATACACGGGTGGTGGGTTTGAACCACTCATCTTTTGGTTAGCAGCCGAATGCCTTAACCACTATGTCACCAAAGCTCCTTGAGTGGGAATGTGTCACAAATTGGCTATAGGTCAAAAATTGCCTATATACTGGGTGACAGAAGTTCATTAAAATACTCTTTCTACTCTACAAAACTTCAATTTTTATTCAAATCTTAAAAAAATAAAACCTTTAAGGTTTCATAAATTCTTTAAAAGGTACAAAAAAAAAAAAAAAACCCACTCCTGTCGAGTCAATTCTAACACACAGTGACCCCCACTGGATTTCCAAGATGGTAAATCTTTATGAAAGTAGATTGCCCAGTCTTGCTTGCGTGGAGTGGCTGGTAAGTTTGAACCACCAACCTTCTGGTTAGCAGTCAGATGCCTTAGGCACTGTGTTATCAGAGATCCAATAAATACAAAGCTATCTTTATAAAAGATACAAAGGTAAACATTTTCAAATTTAAATATGCTGCCAACAACTTCTGCTACTACATAACTGGATTTCCTCCCCTGAGATAAAATGTTTAAACCAAATTATCAACAGCTACAATTGCTTATAACTCTTTCCATGATATACAGATTACCCTGAATAAAGATCTAAGAAAGCTAAGAGGTATATACCACCATATGTAAAAATACATCAGGACAAAAGAAAAGCAAGTTTAAGCAAGTTGCAGCTGTCATTCAAAGAGAAAAATGTCTCCTCAGAATAATAAATGACCCAACAAGCAATTACTGAGCATCTATCAAGAGTCAAGCAGATGTGGCACATTTCTTTACAAACATAAAGCCACTGATTCTCCTACCACTCCATTGGTTCACAGAATGCAACCTCCAATATTTTCTGGAAGTAGAAACGTGAAGAGTGCAAATGCCAAATAAACATGTGCACATACAGCTGTGTGTTTGTGTGTGTGTGTGACAGAGAGAAAGAGAGGATAAAAACAAAAAGAAGTGTACCAGGATTCACTGAACACATGGCTCTCTTCATATGTACCCAAACATAGATTCTATCTGTCCTTAAAAAAAAGCCCTCACCCTAATGTGTGGAAGCATTTAAATTAAGAGGAGTTTTATATGATGTCACACGATCTCTAAAAATTACCACAATGGCACAAACATCAGGAGTTGAACTTACTAGAGATCATGTATTAACCAAGCTCTACTAAAGTAAGTGTAATTTATAAGGAGCATTAAATGGCCTGCTCTAACAAAGTCCTTAATTAAGTACATTTCAGCTCCTGTCAATAAAAAGCTAGATGTCTTTTGTGCATTCATTATATTTGCCTTTCTCAGTTTCATAACAAAAGCAAATATGCATGTACTATCCTTGCGCAAAGGCGCCCTGCTGGTACAGTGGTTAAAGCACCTAGCTGCTAACAGAAAGTTTGGCAGTTGGAACCCACAGGAGAAAGATGTGGCTGGATACTTCTGCAAAGACTGGGAGCCTTGGAAACCCTGTGGGGCAGTTTGACTCTGTCCAACAGGCTGATAAGAACTGGAATCGACTTGATAGCAACAGGTTTGGGTTTTGGGTTTTATAGTTATGCGAGATGCTACCACTGGGGCAACTGGATGAAGGGTACGGGGACATCCCAGTACTCTTATTTTTTGTAACTTCCTGTGAATCTATATTTTAGCCATTTCAAAACAAAACTTTAAAAAATTAAATCACATTAAAAGTAGTAACACCCTTCTGTGTATGTGTGTGTGTGTGGGGGGGAGATAAGCGGATTCATTCATGAACCAAAGGCTCCAGTGAGCATAATTTCTCCATGTGATAGGAGCTGATTATATCAATTTCACCAGAGTCACATGCTGAAGCAAATTCAGGATGATAAATAGCTGCCGAAAAACCTGTCTGAACACTGACAGATGCTATTTCTCTCCCTTTCTGGGGATTATTTCAACTGAGCAAGCCAAAGGGACATTATTATCACATCTGCTCTCCCCTGCAGCCCTTTGTGACCACCCCGAATACTGATGGGAGTGGCCTCTCTGCCTCTGTAGCCTACTGTTCCTCAGACCCTGGCTAGTAAAGCACCGGGGGCACCTTCCTTACCTTCCGTTGACTTGGGCACTCCCCTTGTGCAATGTGAGCTTACTGAAAAAGCAGGGGCTCGGGTTCCTTTGTCTCTGTATATCCTTATTGCCTTATACAGTGCCTTAGTAACAATAAACATTGAATGAATGAAGAGTGCGAGTAAAGGATGGATGAATAGATAGATATGGACAAATGGAGAGATGAATAGATGTGTCCTCTTCTAACCTGTACATAAAGAAAGTACAAAAGTCATGTGGTTCTTACCAGAAACATCCATCTTTATTAGGAGACCAGGTCCTTCCAAGGACCCAACCCCCCCCCTCGCCCCAATAATGGACAGATTCCTTGTAATGAATCTTGGCTGCTGAAACTAAACATCCCTATGACTAGTAGGCTCTCCTGATCCTGAAATGGGGGCTTTTAATTGAATGAGTGTTGGGAGGGGCAGTCTGACAAGCAGAAACAGCTCCTTCTGAGCACATGAACACAGGTTAAGTGATTGTGGATACCACCATCCCAGCTCCCTAACCCTCCTGCCCCAGGAATTTGAGCACCATATGCTTTGAGCTAAGGAGACAGGCAGGGTCTAATGGCCTTATTGTTGAGTTGGAGTGAGAGGAGACAGCTTTTTCAATAGCTCCACGAATACAAAGTCGTCACTTCTCTGACCATCCAGCTCTTAGGTGCACAGTTGGAATGGCAGGATACCAAGAGGTCACAGCTCTCCCAAAGAGGATGCCTGATAAATCCAAATCAACCCACTGCTGTCAAGTGGATTCCCACTCACAGTGACCCTATAAGACAGGGTAGGAATGCCCCATAGGGTTTCCAAGGCTCTACATCTTTACAGAAGTAGACTGTCATATCTTTCTTCCATGGAGCAGCTGATGGGTTCAAACCACCAACCTTCTGGTTAGCAGCCAAGCACTTTAACCACTGTGCCACCAGGGGTCCTCGTTGTCCAATACTCCTCCCCCAAAAAACACCTCCTTCTGTATTAGTAGAAGAATTGCAGGGTAATTTCCAAACACAGGCACAGTGCTTCAGTGAACAGGGGATCAATCGGTGTGTAAGCAGTCTCCACTTACTAACTGGTATGTCCCAAGGGTTTGTCACTATTAGCAATGAGAGCCACCACTCACTGAAGGCCTTCTATGGGCAAGATGGTTTATATACATTACTTTTGTTGGAACTTGTAATGCATCTCCCCATGGAAATAATGTTATAATGATTCTATTTGGTTCTCACTTCAACAAAGCCTATTCAATCCACAAGGTCCCTGAGGTATAGTATTTTTACTATAGGACCTAATTACCATGTATAATATGATTTCAGTGTGCAAAAGGAGATACCAAGGCAGTTAGAGTTCTAGTGTGGAATCTGGAGCTACAGTAACTTCCAATCAAGTGGGAGCAAGGAAACCTTCGCCCCTCAATAGCTGGGCTATACTAAACCCAACCAAACTAACTGCCATGTTGTCAGTCCCGAATCATTGCGACCCCTCCTTGGGATTCCGAGGAGTTATCTCTATGGAAGGAGATTGCCCAATCTTCCTTCCGAGGAGTGGCTGGTGGGTTTGAACTCCAGCCTTCTGGTTAGCAATCAAATACCTTAGGCACTATACCACCAGAGCTCCCAGATGGGCTGTGATAGCAGAGAAGTGCCATACCCCCAGTCAGAAAAAGCAACAGGAGCTCCAAGACAACTCATTTGTCCCCAAACCCTCTGATGTTCTTCCTAGCATGAACCTAGGATGGAATGGAAATGACGGATCCAGGCTTGGCAGTGGAGGGGAGGGGGCATCCCGAAGCCCTGCTGTTTCTATGGATGACCGGCTACATATTCCAGAGCTGCTGAGACACCAAGTGAAGGACATTGGTTGAGCACATCTCTTGAATGGCTTTGCCTCCAAATCAGGAATTTGTCCAATCATGCTACTGGTCAAATAAAATAGACAGGGTAACATGAGAACATCACTCAAGTAAGATTTTCCAAAGGGAAAATAAAGGAGTTTGAGAATTATTTTAGCAAACTGAGTTGTTCTCCTCTTAACAGAAAGAAAAGTCTTCAATCTCGGGTAATGCTGTGCCATGAGGACACAGTAAAGCCTTTTACAACATTCACACCCACATGAACTTTGCTCAAGACGGCACAAGAGATGCACAGACGCCCACAGAGGAAGTTGGGTTAGCGACTGGGAGAACAAAGCTTCCCGGTCCTGACCTTTTGCTCCGTGAGCTGGAAAGGGCAGCAGAGAAGCTGGAGGGAGACATTCAGGACCTGGAGAAAGAAAGACCTGAAGTTTGTTCTCACCGTCTGAGAACACACACGCTCACCTAGGTGGGGCCTGGACTCTCTGTTGTCTTGCCATACATTTATGGGAATGACACGCATTCTTCTTGGTCACAGAATTTCTCTCCATGAAGGATTTTTTTTTTTTTTTTTTGGTATGCTATTTTTCTCCAGGGATGCAGAGAAATACTGACAATTGCATTTGGTTCATTCTAAAAATAACTGCCAACTTACACTGAACGGCACTTTAGAAGTCTATGGAGGCACACCAACCTGGGTGACCCAGGAGACAGCATATAGCACGGCATGAAAGCTAACAATCACCTATCCAGAGAACATGATCAATTTGCTAAGCCACTGTGGGCTAAGACAGAAAACCCTCATGAGCTTTCATCACAGCCTCTCAGCACAGGATACAGACAAGAAGGGAGGCTGAAGCAGAGCCTGATGGCCCCCCGCCCCTTTCCTACCCAAGGTGTGGGCTTTCTTACTTGACTTGGAGAGCTGCTCATCCTGGGAAATGCCGAGGTCGTCTGACTCTCCTGACAGCTCCTTGATGAAATTGGAAGGGAACATTCCAGTCTTTCCATTGAGAACACCTTCCCACCATCCTTCTTCTACCTACACAGATGCAAACGGAAGCAAAGAGATATAGGGATGGGGTTAGACATGTTAGTTTCCAGTTTTGTTCACCATCTTTATGAGCAGAGTACAGAACTCACACAAGGAATGCTGAAGGTCCCAAAGATTAAAAGTTGACAAGGAACATGGAAGTAAACTATGTCATTTGAGAAGCAGGCTAAGGGAGGGGGTTTTAACCTGGGGCTCAGAAAATCAAATGGAAAAAAAAACTTTATTTTCACTAACTTCTAACTGAAATTTAGCATTTCCTTCCATTATGAACACAGGTAAAAAACCGTAGGAAAATAAGAGTACCTGTGACTTCTCACCAAACAAATCATGGATATTTTCATACCACATTATAGAGGTTGCAGGTATCTCAAAATATCGTGTAAAGTCATCACTATTTGAAACAGTTATAGCTATTACACCTGCTGGGAGACTTTGGTATTTCATGTATTAATAAAGAAGCATACAGATTACTATATCAAAATTTCCTTTTAAAATAGTTTGATAATTACTTCAATATGAATAGTTTCTTTGTATCCTATGTGTTTTATTTTATGCACTTAAAAATATTACTTAAAAACTGAGAATGGTTTCACCAAACTGCCAAAATTAATTAGACAGACTAGCAAAAACAGTGAAGCAGCCCTGGGTCAAGAAGTCAAGACCTCTTGAAGGTAGAAGTTCTCTCTATAGGCTTCCAAAGGGTCTATTTGAACCTACTCAGCGATACCTTGGGAGCTCTGGTAGCATAGTGCCTAAGGCACTTGACTGCTAACCAGAAGGCCAGCGGTTCAAACCCACCAGCCACTCCTGGGAAGGAAGGTTGGGCAATCTACTTCCGTGGTGATACCGCCTCGGAAACCCAAGGAGGGGTCACTAGGAGTCGGGTCCGACTCGACAGCACTTAACGATAACAGCGGTACCTTGGAAGCAGGCCTGGTGATCTGCTTCCAAAAGGTCACAGCCTTGCAAACCCTACAGAGCAGTTCTACTCTGCACACGTGCAGTTGCCGAGAGTTGAAATGACTCAATGGCAACTAACAACAACAAGGTAGAAACAAATAGCGGGCACAGCTAGGAATACTTCCTAGACATAACCAAACACCTCGTGGGAGTAGCTGGATCTGCAGGTTTAGACCCTAATCTCCAATTAATAAAGAAGCCAACAATTTGGTCAACTGGCCTAACACAGTTCATACATTTTATGTTCTACATCCTAGTTTGGTGAGTCACATCTGGGGTCTTAAAAGCTTGCAAGCGGCCATCTAAGACACAACTACTGGTGTTTACCCATCTGAAACAAAAGAGAAGGAAACAAGGATGAAGGAAATCAAAGACTAAAAGAAGAAACTAGTCCACGGGACTAAGAGCACACATGAACCACAGCCTCTTCCAGCCTGAGACCAGAAGACCTTCCCAGTGCCTGGCTACTACTGCCCACTTTTCTGAGCAGGGATGTAATGATTTAGCACAAACTGAAATTGTCACACTAAGTCGAGCTCCTGAGATCTGGGATGCTAAAGGCAGGCTTTGAGAAGAAAGAAAGAAAAATTAAGGCAGGGCTTGAAGAGTAGAAAAGACAGAGATAACCAGGAAAGAGGGGGTATAGGAGACATTGCAGAAATGGGGGAGCTGAGGGACCCCCTGGAATGGGTACAACCAGAACGGGATGTTTAAAGCAGCTGCAAGCAAATCAAAGTCTTCAGGAAAGATTCCAACAACTACATCCATGCACAACCGTCCTGATGGCTGACTATTCAATACCAAATCGTGGCATTTAACAGTGTTTCATTTTAAATCATTGCATGGTTCTGTGCCAACTCAACTGGCACCTATAATTCTTTCAAGGAGCTTTTTATAGGATTAAGATGCTTAGGAAGATTCACCATGAGCCTGAATATAAGTAGTCATAGGATCTGTATCATGAGGTCCCTTGGGCTAGTTCTGAATAAGGAACCAAAGTGACCTTCTTTCTCCTGGGAATCACAGAGCAGGAGGGAAAACAAGGGCATGGGCCACAAATGAGTAGTCCTGGCACAACCTCCGACAATGCGGGGCAGCGGGCCAAGTCCTTCCACTCTGTGTGACAGTCTCTAAAACGTTCCTGCTCCCAGGAATAAGCAGCTCCAGCCTGGGATCGCTGAGGGATATGCCCAACATACATGGGAGCTGCGGGCTGCCTGCTGGGAAGGCAAGAGGTGTCCTCCCCTCACCACAGCCCCAGATGCCCATATCACCGTCACAGCAGTCTGAGGGGAGTGGCCGATGGGATGACGAGGAGAGGTCTACATTAGCTATGTAGTGAGTGGAAGGATAGACAGTAAATCCACTGTTCATTACCTGGGGCCCTGCATCACCTCAAGCTCTACCAGCAGGAGGCTAATTTGTCTAGGAGTTCAAGACCATCACAAGGTGGGGAGAGGCAGACCCCAGCACCAGTGAGAGCCGTCCATTACTATTTCTTACATAGCCTGCTACTCTGGCCTCCAGATTCAGGTGGAAAATGATTCTGACCTTGACACTATCCTTCTTTAGAGATATCTTAGCTCATCTTCTGGTATAAAGATGAGGATTCAGAAGTCCAGAGTGATTATATTCAATCATTCAAAGAGTAAGACACAGTGCCTCATACAGTGAGTGAATGAATGAATGACAAGGAAATCACCGAGGAAAATCCTTCACAGGGGCCTATGAAACCCTGACTCTCCCACAAAAGTCTTTTTCCTTCCTCTGAGAAGCAGAAGGGACCAAGAGTCTGACAGTATTAGCTGCTGCTCTTAATGGCATACTGGCCGCCTGGGTCTGTGTGCCCCTCCAAGAGACAGGCCCCAGGTCATTCATCTCTCCAATACGTAATCACCACATACTCGTGGTGGGCAATGGCGAAGACTCTGGGATAAATTCACCGGTGAACAAAACAGCTAAAGACCCTCCCCTCGAGGAGCTGTTGCAACAAAAAAAAAAGGGTCATACAGAGCTTGTACCTCCCCTGCTTAGAAGTCATGCTTGCTCATTTTTATGTTTCTCTGTTTAAAGAGAGAGAGAGAAGCTTGTTTCTTTGTAATAAAGTAGGAATATGGATGTCACTGAGGGCTGACAATCTCTGCCCTAAGGAGAGTAAAAGGACTCAGATGCCCACCTCCCCCTCACACACTCATGAACAGTTTTCTGCAGGCCATGGCTCTACACTGAGAACAAACCCAGGCTGCATCCCTCCATGACCAACTCAGCCAGCTGTGGCGCCCAGGCTGCTCCCCAACAGAGAACCCCACCTTCAGCTGAGAGCTAGGAAGCGAGCAGCTTACACCTGTAAGTATTTGAAAAAGACAGAGTAAAACCACTTAAACAGTTTGTGTCTCCAGGTGTCCAGCAATTTCCATGTCTTTAGGATCAACAGCATGCAAGTGGGCCCAGGACCCAAAGTAGTAGTTTCTATATTTTAGCCCTGCTGTAAGTTGCGGAAACAGCTGGATAAATTCCAACATCACCATCATCACCACCACCACCACAATCCAGCATGCGATCTACATTGATAAAGCACTTAAGGTGATGTCTGTGGATGTAAAAATGACTCTGTCCATCTGTGGGTACCTAGCTGTTCGGAAGAGCTCCAGTTTATCATTGGTGAAGTTTTACATGTCAACTGCACTGAGCAAGGGAACAACGGATTTACCAAGTCTGAAGTCTGTCTCAGGCTAAGAGCAGCAAGCCAGAAAAATCTATGGCATGGCTGCTATAGTTTGTTTGTTTTGTTTTGTTTTTGTTTTTTAATCCAGTTAACTCTGTGTTACCCAAAACCCCAGTCAGAAGCTTGTGGGGGGCAGGGAAGGCAAGCATAGGGGAGGGAGAAGTTCACAGGCAAATGTATTCAGCATCACTGCTCCAAGAGCCCTTTGTTTATCAACCTTTCATAACATAAACTGGGCAAATCAAACTCTAAGGAAAGGTGTAGACCTTAACATTAGTAAAAAAACTGTGTTCAAAATATTTCAAAATAATTACATGAGAATTTCAATACCAGTTGTTTCTCCTATTTATGATAGGCAGAGGAAGGTGTTTTGAAATTTTAAAACACTAGAGCAATACTCAGTTGGTTTTTGCTTTTAATTAAAACATAATTCATGTAAACGCATAAATCTTAACCACATATGTTCATCTGTTCTGACAAATGCATACAAACTCGAGTAATCCACACCTCTATCAACATACAGAACATTTCCTCTACTCCAGAAAATTCCCCTGTGCCCTCTCCTAGTCAATCCCCAGCAAGCATTCACTAATCTGATTTCTAGCACCTTCACTTAAGTTTTGCCTTTTCTAAAACTTCCTGTGTTGTTGTTATTAGTTACCGTCAAGTCAGTTCCAACTCATGGAGATTCCACATGTGCACAGCACAACTGCTCCACAGGGTTTTCAAGGCTGTGACTTTTGGAAGCAGATCACAGGCCTATCTTCTGCAACACCTCGGGGTAGCTTGGCATCATCATCCTTACAACTGGTGTTGTTGTTGTTATGTTCCGTCGAGTTGGACCCGACTCATAGTGACCCCTCCTTGGGTTTCCGAGGCGGTGTCACTACAGAAGTAGATTGCCCCATCTTCCTTCTGAGGAGTGGCTGGTGGGTTTGAACCTCCAGCCTTCTGGTTAGCACTCAAACGCATCAGGCACTAAGCTACCAGAGCTCCTTTACAACTGGTAGTTGAGTGCTTAACTGTTTGTGTTACCCAGGGATTCCATGGAATGATGTGGTATATACTCTTTTGTGGCATAGTGCCTACAGGGCATTTGACTGCTAACCAGAAGGTTGGAGGTTCAAACCCCCCAGCCACTCCTCAGAAGGAAGACTGGGCAATCTATTTCTGTAGAGATAGTGCCTCAGAAACCCAAGGAGGGGTGCTAGGAGTTGGAAA